GCCAAAGCTCAGCAGTGGCTCTCCTGCGGAGCTCGTGCACGGAGTTCAGAGCTTCAGCTGCTTGAAAACGGTTAGCATAGTTCGAAGTATGAAAGGACTGAAGAAGGCACCACGAGAACGTGGCATCAGTGCCCCGTACAAATTTGAGCCGGAGCAGGAGTTACAGTAGTTAGTTACCGGCTGCCAGCACCTGAAGCTGAGACTTCGTGCCTGCAACGGGTCCAATATGCTCCGACTTCTCCACTTCTGTTTTCCGATGCTTCAGCGCAGAGTCCCACAGCCTGCAGCTTGGACCACTAAGCCTAACACACGCAGTCACGTGCACATTCTTCAAGAGAGCCCCGCAATTCTGGTGGAAGCTAGGTGCAGGCCTCGTGGGAGTGCCAGCATAGTCAGGGTCCGCGCCGGCTCTCAGAAGATACTCGGCATGGCACACATAGCCTAGTGCTGGATAATGGTGGGAGATAGAATTCTCACAGATGAGCACCGGTTTGACCTGTGTAGTCGTATTCTTAGACCATCTACTGCATGGAACAAACGCACCCTCAAACTTCCTGGGGGGGCTGAGGCCGTAGGCGGCCAAAGCCGATTGCCGGGCGGCTGGTGTGAAGCGAGCTGAGTGCCAGAACACTGTGTCCATAACTCCCGACCTGGTTCGGGTCTGCATCGAATTCGAGCAGCTTTTCAGTAACTTTCGAATTGTGGGTGGCCACTCCGTTGATGATGGGAGTGTCACCCTTGGAGTTCGGTTTGTGGACCAGCTCGGGCGCTGCCGCTGCGAGGTCAGCGATGACGGCATGGTTTCCATAGGCCGCTGCCTGGTGTATGGCCGTGTAACACAAAGTGCCACAGCAAACATCCAGAGCAGCTTTTGCTTGCAGGAGGCACTGCACCACCTGCCAGGGCGAATCACCGAGAAGTCTACTCCATTCAGCTTTGTCAGACTCGTAATTGAGCCCAGAACAATCCAAGCACAGCTGTGTGAGTGTTGCGACGTTTTGGGTACAGCAGCCTTTGATGACGAAAGGGCCGCGGCGACAGTAAGGGCAGTCTGCCTTCCGCCAAGCTGGATATCGCGTATCGATACTTCGACCTTTTCGTTCACTTCAGCTTTGGAGCTCAAAAGCTCTTTGACGAGGGGTATGCATCCCTCTATGCAGGCCATCATAAGCGGAGTGAGTCCGTCAGCCTTTTGGTCCGGGGCATTGAAGCGGTAGCGCGCAAGGAAGGACTGGAGAGGTTGATGCGGAATGTTGCGCTCCTGCTCGAGGGCCGCCAAGTGGCAAGCTGGGCAGCCCCGCTCAGGAAGCAGCCTGCGCAGGAGACACGAAATGCCCGACTCTCCTTGATCCATTCCTTTCACCACCTCTCAATGTGTTTGGAGGCACTATTGCAGAGTCATCAGGAAAGGGGACGTCTGACAAACACGTGTGTGGCCACCACAATCACAGATTGGGTTGCAAGGCCCTCGACAAAACACGAACACGCGAAACGAAAAGCGCGAGTCCGCAGTGAGCCAGCAGAGCAACAGCACATCACTTCATGTGTTGTTCTTCGTCCCGCGCTCAAGCGAAGTGAATGCGCTCTGTTGAAAACAGGGGCCTGAAGAGCAAAGCTCTGTAAAATCTCCACTGGGAAAGATCGCCGGCTCGCAGGACCTCAGCTTCACATTGACTCAGTCAAGAAAACCTATTCAGAAACCAAAAGGCACGACGAACCAAACTGGAAACTTCAATTCCACCGCATCACAGTGTGGCCCAGGGGCGCTCTCACTTTTAAGGGCCAGAAGTTTCTTTGTAAGCTCCTTGACCTGCAAAGCGACAAGCGTGGTCTCTCCTCACTCTGAATCAATCCGGCTTTCACGACTGTACCATAGAAACGAGTGAAACACTCACACCTTGCCAGGATGCTGTCTTTCTATCTCCTTCAACGGTAAATTCTCCATCATGCGGCCAACTTCCGATCCACGCTGCACCGCTCGAGGCGAAGATCGTTCGCGGAGTGGTCACCACCAGCAAAGGCATCCCCCTGTCCTTACTTCATGAGTGATGCACGCGGTCCACAAATCGATGCAACTTAGGAGTTACACCCAAGTTGCAGCGAGCTGCTGAGAGCGCAGCCGCAGTCCTTTCCGCCCTGCACACAACCGCACACAATGTTTCTTGAACGAGAGCACGCAGAAAGCACAAGCCTGCACCAACCCCGCGTCTCCCAACTGCCGAAACCTGGCATCGAAGAAGCAGAAAGCAAGCAAGAATCAGCCACGGGCTGATGCAGTCGGACTTGCTCACTGAGACAAGCCACTTATCGTGTTCCCCGTGTCTGCGTGTCGCAGGCTAGGAGCCAGGATGACGATGATGTCAGATGCGTGACAGTACGCAGGAATGCTGTCAACTGCAGCTTGAAGCTCTGGTGCGTTTGAGACACAGCCTCGATCATCTATCTGAGGGATGCCGAAGAAATCGTACCAGATGTCCCATTCGAGGCAGTCTAGCTGCTCCTGTGTGCTGGGAATCGGGACGTCAACACCGCGAGACCTTAGGAAGCGAAGACACCGCGACTTGCAGTGGCCAAGCGCTGGTGGAACAAAATCTTGTGAAATGAAAGTGCCATGGAGGCCAAAGGCTGCGCAACCATGTCCTTGCCAATGCAGACTCGACCAGCAGCAAGGTTGCGAAGAAGGCTCTGCAGAACTTGGAACTGCTCCATGTTAGGATCTGGATGTCGGAAGCCAGCCCACCTGAGCAAGTGTGACTTTGCGCAGGCACTCGGCGCAAAAAACAAATCAAAGTCTCCAAGCCACTGATGAGAAATCAACACCACCGTTTTGGTGTGCCCTGGCCGCCATTGCACCAGTAAGTTCTTCTTCATCATTTCGTCGTGGGGTAGGAGCGGCCCTTGAAGATCCACAAGCACCTTGCCAGGATAGGCTTGGGAAAATGCTAGGACGTGCTAAACTGGTAACGCCTCCGTGATCCGGCAAAGTGAAGTACTTGCAGCCTTGCGGCCTTTGCCGGAATTAGCCACATCGGGTAGGTCATTGGAATCTCCGTGCTGAGGCCCGTCGCATTGCCTAGATGCAACTCTTTCGTAGACCTGCCAGACCCACTGTCTTGGCTTGCTCTCAGCTCTTTTGCTGGAGGGCCAAGTTGAATCACGGCTGTCTAGACTTTTCTGTCGATAACCGGAAACGACAAACATAAAGCATGCTCAAGTCAGCTGAAGCTGCTTGGGCAAGGTATGTGGGGAAGGAAAGCTTGCAGCATAGTTGTCGAGCGTTGAGGCACAATTTCCCATGGTGTCAAACCAGAACTGCACACAGGGAGGAAGATCTTTAGCATCGACTGTTGGAAGCCCGATGCAGTGAGGCTATGCATTTAGCTAGTTCGGGATGCCACATACCAAGCGGACATGCAAAGCAGATTGCAGTTCGAAATGCTGGGTCAGCGTCTCGAGCCCAAGCGCCGCACAGGAGATCAGATTCGCACATGGACGGTATCACTTGGACCATGCTAGAATTTATGTTGACCTCACATTACATCAAGAAACCCAAAATTCCTGGGAACGTTCCTAGAAACCCCTCTGACTCCGTGTTCGAAGACTTCAATCCTTCGAGGCGAACCAATTCAGTTGCAAATGGCCGACTCTAGGGCTCCGGGGTCCTCCTTCGATTTGGGGTGGGGGAGTTCCCACTGCACTCCAAGTGGCGGCAGCGTCTGTCCGCGAAACAAGGGTTTCTTCAACTCCTGCGAAAAAGTTGCTAGCATGCTCAAGCCCGGAAGCCTCTACACCAGGTAGTCATGTCACTGGCAGCCCAAGCTTTCGTTTGGTGCCTGAAGGAAACAGTGGCCCTTCCCACCTCCGAGGAAGCTCCGAGACCTTGAGCTTCCAGAGCCGCTTCCAGAGCCTCCACCTCTGCCTGAGGAGAACAGAGCAAATAAAACTACAACCCCCCTCCCCCAAAACCCCCCCTTTTGGAGTGCGCCACATACGATTTTTTGGCCTGGTCCAACTCGTCGGCGCCTTCCTCAGCCTCTAGATCCTCGGCTGAGCGTGATACAAGCTCGCAACGGTGGCAAGGCAATGTAATCGCTGTAGGGCACGCAGTGGTCCCTCCAAAAAACGATCATCCTGGACCCGAGCGAAGTCACCAGGCGTGCAGGCAGAGTTCAACTGTACGCTGCCAAGATATGAGCAAGCCATTCGTCTGTTGGTTGGTTCCATGATGCGTCCTCCACTATAGATTATGAGCCTGTGCCTACGGCTCTTACTAACAACTACACCACCCGGGACCTACAATTTCATCACGGATCTGGAAACACGTTGCGAGCTCTTCATGATGGTCGCAGGTTCTAGCTTCACTCCTGAACTTCCGCAGAAAGGCTATGGGCTGAGGCTCCGATGCCGGCACAGGCAAGCTAAGGGCAGTGACCACCATGGCATCATCTGCCATCGCATGGACTTTGCTGTGTTGCTTGTTGGTGCTGGTGGAAGTATCTTTCGCTCTCATGGCCCCAGCAAGCGTTAAAGCAGGATTCGTCTGGAGCGGTCTGTCATGCTATATAGTTGCACAGACCATGACATGACCCAGCACGGCCAAAGAGCCGCACTGTTAAGCCCAAAGGGGAATGCCAGAGTTTATAATGGCTGCTGACACGTGCCCGTCATTTCTATGTCGCTATATCATGCAGGGAATAATTCTAAGGGCTTTAGGAGGGACCCTTAGAGGGACCCTTGTAGGTTATGGGGGTGTATATGGAGACTAACTGGCTATATAAGGGGTATATAAGGACTGTACAATGGTTATCTAAGGTAATGGGATTAAGGGTCCCTATTAGGGGTCCCTCCGGTATCGAGACAACTCATACCAGCGCTAAGGAATCACAACGCTTCCCATATTGTATACTTAAAGCACCTGCCAGCAAGCGTTTGAAAGCTCATTGCTGCTAGTTGGTAGCATCGTACTGCATGTCTGGCACGCCACCAAACCCTCCACTGGCCGTCTTCGGGTAGGACGTGATCTGCTCCGCCTCCACGCTGCATAATTAGCTGTGAGGTTGGGCGAAAACGCATGCAACTGCCCCTCTTCAAACGCCCCAAGCATCGGGTGCCTTTCGATTCCAGACCGTCACGCAGCCTTAGAAAGTCCACGCGCTGCTGGACTACGGTAAAAATATCTCACAGCCACATCAACGGCTTCCCGCGGACGCAGCCCACGAGACAAGTCGTTGACCGATTCTTTGCAGATTTGTGCAGGCATGGGCTGATTGATGCTTCTTGTCGGGTGAGCTGGCGAAGCGATGACGCTAATCTTTTGAGGCTGCAACCTCTGCTGTCAATTCCAAAGATCGGCGCGTTTGCTGTCTCGATCAGCCTTCTGAGATCATCGGCGACGAGTTCATTCCTAAGGCTGCAGACGGGCGCGTTGTACATTGTGGCTATGCTGCAGGGTTACAGGACACTTGGCTGGAGATTGCATCTTTGAAACATGCAGCTTCCTGGCTTACATTTTTTGGCAACACAAGGACTTCGCCTCAAAATCTGCCTTCGATAGTCCCTGCATTCAATTCAAACCCCAATTCTCCAGCTGTACCTGAGGCCAATGGTGCGTCCGACGCTTTGACAGGTGCGAAGATGAGAGGACCATGCCAAGGACCAGGCTGTCTCATCAGGTCACGATACTCGGTGATGTCCTGCAAACCCACATATTCGCACTCGCATATCAGCCTTTATTCTAAGAACTGCTTACCGGCTCCTGGCCGACGCATATAACTCCAGTGATGCTGCCCTCGCTGCTCTGCTTCGCAGTAGCCTAGGGCTTGCTTTCCGCGGCGATCTGTGCTTGTCTGGACATGGGTTCTTACTGCTCGGATGTTGGCAAGCGGTTGGACTCTCAATCTGAGGACGTCCGACAACATCGGACAACGGCAACATCGGACAGTAGCTACTTAGATACTTTGCTACTTGGCTACTTATTGCTGCTGCTCCGATCAAAACAAATCCAACAACTAAATCAAGCAGATTGGTGCTTCCGGTAGCTTCCCTAGCATAGTGTACTTTGTCATTGGTATCGCTACGGAGTTGCCTGCAGAGTTGCGGGGTTGCCTAGCAGACTCTCCGACTCTTGTGCCCCGGATGTGACTTTTCTGCAGCGCTCTCCCCGCCTTTTCTGAAGCTCGGTTGGTCCTTTAACCCTGGAATTCTCGCAAGGAGCTGGAGATACTTCTGAGTTGAGGCCGTTTGTGGCACATGTGTGGTGAACGCTGTGTCCGCACAGCCAAGGTTTGCTTAATGTTGGCATGCGTAGATTGATCGCTGCCTGTTTGGATGGTCACAGACTGTGCTCTGATAATGCGGTGCAGAGTTGGAAATTGCAAGCCAAACCCAAACAACTCTCTGGGGCCACGGCGTTCAGAAGGACGAAGCGGCTCACGCCATCCTGGCATTGCTTCAGCAAAGAGACCAGCAGCACTCTTCGAGATTTAGCGCTGGTGTTCCGAGTCAGCACGCGCAAATCAACATTGAGCACCAGCCTTGCCGCACAAGTGTATTGTCACGTTCTCTGCCGACTCACCTGCAAAGCAACTGTCAACGAGATGCTTTGCTCACTGCAGGTCTGGGCGCGAAGCGATGCGGCCTTCGAGCGCTTGTCGCAGAACTGTTCGAACCTCATCCTGGCTCTCCTCGGTCACAGTTCACAGCCAGACCTGGAGGCCTGACTGGGGTGCTTCCTAAAGGCTTCGCGGTTTCGTGTGGCTTTCACCATCCTCCCACATTGTCCCACACTCTCTTGCGCCTCCGAGTCCGATTCCCGCCCCCCCACCCACACACACACACACCCACTTCCACGGCAGTCACAAATTAGATCGCAAAGCCTATGTGCCATGTCTTTTCCTGGATTTCTGAATTTCTCTCGCACAAGCAAGTCATGCGTTGTGGACATGTGTCCCATGGCAATGAACCGATGCTCACGAAGACTGCGAATCACTGCAAGCAGATACGACTCCCTCACAGCAGCTGCCATTGATCATGTAACATGCTCGGATCCATTCATAGCCCGGTTGCTGCTATGAATGTCTCCACCATGTTTCTGCCAAGAGCCTGCGAAGGGGGTCAGGCTTGATTGACATTTCCTGTATCTCGGCAAAGCTGCAAGGGTTGGCTGACTCTGCAACTCAAACGCTCTGGATGTAATTTTGATTCTCGTAGCGCCTTGTAGCTGGAGCACCGTCGAAAAATCGCTCTGCATTTTGGAGCCGCCGCAGATTTCTAGTCAGTTACAATACATCATGCCCTCCAGCGTGGTAACTGCCGGGCCAGACAGCACAACCCGTCCGTTTCCTCGGACTACGCACTTGACAACACCGCCTCGAGGTGATGCTTGAAATCCGATCACTTCGCCTGCGCTGTTCGCACCGTTCGAACCTCGGCCGAGCTTTTGCATCCAATACGGGCCCAGCATGCAGTGGGCCGATCCTGTTACAGGATCCTCTGGAATGCCAGCCCGTGGTCCAAAGAACCGGGATCGGAAGTCGACCACGCTCCCTGCAGCCGCTGCAGCAGCACGCTCAGCATCACTGCTCCCTTCGCAGCCCTGCGTCGTTACGCACACCCCGCGGCACTCAAAGCAAGCGAGAGCACTTTGATCAGGCTTGATCCGATCGAAAGCGGTCGGCGACAGCTCGCACAGAATGTCGAACTTCCCACGACCGATGGCCAGAACGTCAGATCCCGACAGCCCAAGCGCTTTGCCCAAGGCATCTGCGGTGGGCATCGAGCCATCAACCGAGGCGTCTGCGATCTTCGGCATGTCTGCGGGGAAATCCATCTGTATCCAGCCCCTGTCTGTCATGCTGCAGCTCAAAGTCCCAGAGGCTTTCGATTCAAAATCGATTCGTCGTCGCTTGGATGCACGGCCAGTGGTCCACAGCGCATGTGCTGCACCAAGCGTGGCCTTACACTGCAGCTTTGTTCAACTAGACACGATCTCCTGCAAAGTCGCCTCCGCAAGCTAAGGCAATGCAATGCTTCAGCTGCACACGCCTAGCAAAGTCTATCACTCGGCGAAAGGCCTCTACACAGATTTTCGCGGACCCTTGGGAGGAGACATCGGGCCAAGGCCGAAAAGCATGACTGCTAAGTCGGATTCCAAGGCTCATGACCGCAGAGATCAACTTCACAAGTTGGCGTAAACCAGCGGATCGCAAAACGGTGCGCTTCCTGAAAGGGATACTGTCTTGGGAGCGCATGGCATAAGCTCCAGATTGGTTCAAAGAGATGCCCGCGACTCAGCATGTGCAAGTTTCAGCATATGCACTTGCACTCCCCCCGACGCGTTGGGCTTTAGTTCCTCGTTTGACTCGGATTCGCTGGAAAGCAGCTCCACGAATGCGGTCTCGGCGAGGTTGTTTTCCATGGCCACCTGCATCAAACAATCCTGCTTCTACGTGTGCCTGCACTTGACACATCGTGATACCCTTGATGATGTTGTAGGCGCTTCCGCGCCAAGAGAAACCGAGGCAACTTGCTTTCCACTCTTGCCCCGCCTTTTGCATCCATGATGCGTCGCCGCCACGATGCGAAAACACAACAGCTGCCGAATTTCCGGTGCAGGGCACAGCCGCGAAAGCATCGCACCTGATGAACGTTCAAGTCCGTTCAAGTCCGTTCAAGTCTCGATGTTTCATTTGCCCCTCATAAGCTCTCAATGGCACAAGGGGCCCGTCCACCCAGATCAGATCTTCGAGGGCTCACCACACAGGTTCGTGCAGAATTGAGATTGACCTGCTGCACGCACCAGCCACCTTAATCCAGTGTCGAGCCACTGGATCATGCGCTCGCCAGATGCTGCGCGCACAATGTCCCGCACCTGCACGAAGTACGAAAGCTGCACACAACCAACATCAATTCTTAGAGAGTTAGTCTAGCACCACAGTTCGCCACGGCGGTGCACTCACAGGTTGTGCCCTGCGATACTCGGAACTTCACACTTCAAGCCCGAAGAGCGGGCCCCTTGTACATCCGGCAGATCAAGTGGAGCAATAGGTTTCGAACTTCTCCAATTGGATGCGAAGGCTGTCAAGATTTACTTCTCCGGACCTCTCCGGAAGGTTCCAATGCATCGACCGCAAAGATCCGCAATGATAACACCGTGACCTATATCACCATTGCCCATTTTCCACCCCTGGGGATGCAGGGCACTTCTGGGCCTACCTGGAGCTCGAACCACGGATCAGCGCCGTGCCTTGCCCGGTAGTGACATCGTGCGGCGAGAACCGACTTTCTTGCGGCGGAGCTGCGGATTGTTTGTGCAGACGGCCGGCACGAGCAGATGGTAATGACGCCAGGGCGCACGACGGGGGAAAGCCCGACAAGCTCAAAGCCGGCGTTCCTCGGTACATGTCAGCACTGCATACCTGTAACAAGCCATGAAGACCGACTTGGCCCTGTCACCTCAGAGTCTGCCCTGCTAAAGCAACCGCAACCGCAGTTCGCTTCCCCCTTTCTTGGAATTGCTGTCAAAAGCAGGCAAGGTGCACGTACAGAGACACCAGGCCTGCCTTGGCTATGAGAGCGCACGCTCGTGGTGGCGACGAGCCTGCAGAATACCCTACATCTGGCCACGACTCGAAGCAAAACAACTCCACACGTCTATACCTCTGGCCTGGAGCAGCATGCAAGGCCGCCACAGCCCGCAAATACTCTCGGAGCATTGCCAAGGCAACTCCTGCGCACAGGCGGCCAGGATGCCGAAAAGACTTGTGACAGAGCGGTCAAAGTCAAAAACTATGATGGTAATTCTCCGCATGGGACAAGCATTCCAGTCGCTTCAACATCCCCAACATGCTTTTGAATTTTCTGCCCAGTGCCCCGACTCCCCCCCTCATGCTCTGACCTCTCTCCCATAGCCCGACTGAGTAAAACCAGCTTTGGGGTTGGCACTGGGCTATGACGCAGTGCATGGGACAACGTGTCGAGATGTCCTGGCTGAAGGCTTGGAGCTAAGATCCCCTGCCAACTCACCATCTAAAGCCAACTCCCTCTGACTTTGAGCCGCGGGAAGGAGCCTGTGCCCATCGCCGACCGCGACACCCCGAGCCATTGTCTCGATTCTGCCCCCAGGGTTTGCTTTCGATTGTTGCAGGAAGCTCTGGCGGCATGCACTTCTGCTTTGCAAAGCATGCTCGGTTCTCGAGATTGCCAGTTGGATGATGGCCGGCTCTAGTAGAAGAAGGTCGTGGGCTGCCGGGCTGCCAGCTTGCGCTGAAGACCCAGCATTTAGACTCGGCCCTACTCGGGCATGTGGAAACACTGGACGAAGCAGACCTTGGACACAAAGTCATGCCAGCATCTGTTTTGAAGACGTCCGGAGCAGCGGGTAGCAATCTATCTGCTGCACGCGGCTTGGCCAGAATCGCTCGCCATTCGAATCTCAAACTTCGAGAAGCAAGCATGCCAAGCTCAGGGATGGGTCCTTTTCTCCGAAGATGCTTCTGGACCACCACGGAGTGAACACAAAGAAGCTCGCCTGGCGAAACTTCAGCCCATTGGCCGAAACCTTCTCTTGGCCGTTACTTGACAGGACAAGCAAACAATAAGTGGCTGTGTGTGTGTGCGTGTGTGTCCGCGACCTCTCTCTCGAAGCATCCAAACTGCAGCACTATTGGCAAGGTTTGTGCCTCACGTTCTTTCAAGTCTCCGAGTGGCATAGGCCTCTAATCGTTCGACTGATCTCTGCTGAGCCCATGTTCGTCATGCCAAGCTTGGAAAGACCGAACCGAACAGCTGGTGCCAATAGCCTCCAGGAACGTGCTTCTCCATTGATTCCTGAGTTTCTGACAGTGCAAGCAAAGGCTTGTGGCGAGAAGCAACAAAGTGGAAGCAAAGATTGTGAGTTGTTGAGGTGAGGGCAGCAAAACGACTGTTCGAGGGAGCAAGACGGGCACACTGTCGTTGGAGCATTAGCTGGTCGAAAATAGACTTCTTTAAACTTTACATGTCACAAGTCAGCAGCACGGTGCGGAGTGACACCGGCTAGCAGTGTCAAGTTCAAGTTTTCCTTGCCTTGAGGTCAAGCCTTACAACTCGACACTGCCGCAAGTAAGAATATACGGGAATTTCTCACAGTAGAAGAGATGTTTCGAAGGCTTTGAGGAGAGATAAGGGTGGTCTGTGCGACTGAGCACACGATCAAGGCAAGTGAGCCAAACACTCGCCAAGCTGCGTGTGTCAAAGACGTTCCGGCTGCACAAGTTCCGCAAACGAAGCCAACCAAAGACCCATTGCTTTTCTCCTCAGCGCATCTTGAGAGTTACAGTAGCAGCGGCGCTTTTTGCTGTTCTTAGCAATGAACGCCCCAGGATCCTGAAAGCCGAAGTCCAGCCCCTCACCTTTCCAGCCCAGGCGCAAAAGCGCCCCAGAAGAAGTCCTCAGCTGCCAAGAAGACAGACTGGGAATCACAGTTTGACTGCCGGGCCCGGCACGTTGGCCACGCGCTGTCTCAGGGCGAGATTTTCTGGTGATGCTGCCTGTGGAGGTACGGATGACGATGTGAAAGACAACTGCTCGGCTCACGCTCCAGCGGCAGAGGCTCCTTCCGCCGGTCCTTCCCTGCCTCGTCCGCTGGGTACGAAGCAGCCTCAAGAGAAGCGCAAGCTTCCAAGTCCTCGCACGAGCTGAAGGAAAGAAAGAGAAGGCCAGAGCCAGACCCAAGATTGAAGGCTTTATAAAGAGGGTTGGGGAAGACCTCTTTCCGAACCCGGCGAAAGGCCAGCGCAGTAGGCCATCGCGGCAGTGGCCCGAGCTCGCGGTCCATTGCGGGATGTGGTGCCCGCACGGGCACGCTCTCCCTCGAGATGAGCCGCGGGCAGAGTCCGCTGAGTTCTGCTTCCCACTTTCTGCAAGCTTGAATTCAGGAGGCCGCTGCCTCCTCACGTTCCCTTGTAGATTCCTTGGATCTAGATCCTGATGTAGCGGTTGCTTCTCGGCGTGGCCGGGTCATAGTATGAGCTCGTCTCGAAATAAGCCCATCTCCGCTTCTCTGATGAACATGACACAGCGACCAGTAAATGCACCATGCAGGCCGGTGGGAATTTTAATTC